CCGTGCCCGCCTCTGGAGAGCGGAGTCTTCCTCACAACCTGACATTTCCACAGCACCCCCCTCCTCGCCCCCCACGGGTCCCCAGACCCTCCAGAGGCAGGACCAGAATTAGAACTGAGACACCAACTACCCCGCCCCCAAATGGCCAGTCCAGCTCTGGCTCCGTGGGGATGTGACAGCCATGCCTCAGGTCCCGGGGGCCCCCAGCACCTCTGCGCCTCACTGAGCCGATGGATTTCCACAGTGAGGGCAGCGCCCGGGGCTCGGGGAGCAAGGGGTTCCCTCACTTGGGTAGGTAGCTCCACGTATAGAACTGCCTCCTCTGGAAGGAGACTTTGGATTAAATGTGTGTATAAACAGAGAACACGTGTGTGCGGGTGTGTATGTGTGCACACGTGTGTATATGTGTGCATGTGTGTGTGTGTGTGTGTGTGTACACGCAGAGATTCAGGCTTGCTGCTGGGGGGAGGGGGAGCCCGTCAGCATTGGGCATCGCCGGCCTCCTTCCTGGGAAAGCAGGTCAGCCCCGCTGAGCATGGCACACCCCGCTCCGCCGGGGCCTGGGGGACAGAGTGTGTGGAAGTGCCATCCTGAACTCAGACACTTCCGGTTTCTTGGGAACAAAACAGGCAAATGTGAAGCAACCAGAGAGCCAGGCAAGGCGGCCTGTGATTAGGCAGCGAGCTGTGCGGCTGCGCTTCCTGCCAGAAGGGCTGAGGGCGAGCAGCGTGGCTGGAGCCCAGGGGGCGCTGCGGCAGGGCTGCGGGCTGCGGGTGTGAAGGAGCTGAGGGGGAGAGGGTGGGCTGTGGCGGGGAGCACCAGCTCCTCACGGAGGAGGGGCGGGCCGGGTGGGGGAGGAAACCGTGGCTGGAGCCCAGGGGGCGCTGCGGCAGGGCTGCGGGCTGCGGGTGTGAAGGAGCTGAGGGGGAGAGGGTGGGCGCTGTGGCGGGGAGCACCAGCTCCTCAGGGAGGAGGGGCGGGCGGATGAGGGCGGTAACGCGGGATGAGACAGACACAGGTTGCATCCCAGCTCTGCTGTTCACAGGCAGTGTGACCTGTGTGACCACTCTGGGCCTCAGTTTTCCTCATCTGTAGAAGGGACAATAACGCCTAGGCTGCGCAGCAGTTTAAAGGTTGCAGATGTGGCTGTAACAGTTTCTATTGTTATCCACGCGGAGAAGCGCAAGGCTTCTGGAAAGGTGGGCTGAGGTGGAACAGAAGGGTGCCCTTGTGGA